AACTCTACCACTGAACCACATCCCAGCCCAAGTTTAAAAATCTAATGAAATGGGTATAATGTGAGTGGAAGATGTACAAAACTACTATGCTTAGCTCCATAAGTATGTCACCAAACTGCTGTCTTCATTACTGCCAGGCAGTTGGGAACTTAAGAATGTGTATCTTCTTTTTATAATAGAATATACAGAATTTATATAAGCCAGTAGTTTCAAATGGCCCGCTAAGGCATTGATACTTTTTCATCATGCTGTGCTAGATATTATAATGAGATGAGGCATAAAACTTGGTGCCAGGGAGTTATGCCCGATGGCTGAATAATGAGTGGAACTATTCTGCTGTGTTAGAAGGAACAGGAGGATCAACACTGACTTTGAAATATCTCTACAGTTGCAATAGCTGCTGGCCGAAAACTTGCCCATAGACTTTTTGAGTGCAAAGAAGATTCCAAATTAGACTATGACAACATCCCCACTGTGGTCTTCAGTCACCCCCCTATTGGAACAGTAGGGCTTACCGAAGGTAGGTACTTAAAGAAGAAGGGCATTGTGATTTTGTCCTTTGAGCTAGGTCTCTGTTGGTCAACTAAATCTGTCTCAGTCCCCAAGTTACACTCTTCGTTTTTATTTATTTACTTCAGACGGGATCTTTCTGTGTAGCCCAGGCAGGCTTCAAACTCTTGGTCACAAGTGATCCTCCTGGCCCAGCCTCCTGAGTGCTGAGACTGCTAACACATGCCAGCATGCCTGGATTTTCCCTTTGTCTGTTTGTCTATCTGTCCTTCCATTCCTCCCTCCTTTCTTCCTTCTCCTTTCTTTCTTGTTTGTTTTTTGAGACAGGGTATTACTATGTATTCTAGGCAGGCCTTGAAACCACTGTGTAGCCCAGACTGGCTTTGAAGTCACAGAAATCTTCCTGCCTCAGCCTTTGGAGTGGCTGGGACTGCAAGTGTGTATTGCCACGCTTTGTCCATTTCTTTTTGGTTAATTTCAAATCACAGTTCTGGTATACTCCAAAGCTACTCATACTTTGAGAGTACTGTTTCTTTTCCCCTAAACATTACTATTTATCTGATTTTTTTTTTAAGCTTTTTTTTTAAAAACTAACATCACATTTAAAGATACATAAACAATACAAAGACTCCTAGTTGGGCCGGCCTAATAGCCTTGCGGATTAAAGCACCTACAAGCAGGGGATCCCCAGGCCTGCTGTGCCAGCCCTGCCCCTGGGGTACGCTGAGACAGCAATTGAGACTGGGCTAAACTTACATATACTCTTTACTATAGTTTAGTATTATTTCTATTCTTTTTTTTTTTTTTTTTTTTTTTTTTTTTTTTTTTTTTTTTTTTTTTTTTTTTTAATGGAGACAGGATCATGCTATGCAGTGCAGGCTAACCTTGAACTCACTATGTAGCCCAGGCTGGACTCAAAACTTGTGATCCTCTTGTTTCACTCTCCCGAGGGCTGGTCATGTACACCAGCATGTCTGGTTATGTGTTTTTTCAGAACAGCCCCAGTACAATTTTCAGGTCTAGCTAATTATCACATTCATGTCATTTTCAGTATTTTTTTCCCCACATCTAGAATCCACTCTACAGTAATGGATAATGTATAGTTCTTATACCTCTTTGGTCTCCCTTAAAATAGAGACAAAATGTTCAGCTTTTCTTATCTCATGTGACATTGAGATCTATGTGTTAGGATGACCTTTATTTTGGTTGGTTTGCTATTTCCTCATGATTTGATTCAAGTTATGTATTTCTGACCGTCTCTCCTTTAATTGTTTAGCTTTCATAAATGCTTTTTAAAATGTATATTATAGATGAAGCCATTCATAAATATGGAAAAGACAATGTGAAAATCTATTCAACCGCCTTCACCCCGATGTACCACGCAGTGACCACAAGGAAAACAAAATGTGTGATGAAAATGATTTGTGCCAACAAAGAGGAAAAGGTATGGAAAAGTCCAGTGAGCTCAACAGCACTTTGCAGAGTTGAGAAGGGTGTTGGTATCTTGGTTTGGGGGCAAGGGGTATGGAGAGACCCGGTAGGTGAGTCCACTGGTTTACTGAGCAGTCCCCCTTTTGTCTGTCTTATAAACAGGGTGTGATAAAAATATAATAAGTGTTTAAATTTTAAAAATGTGTTTTAGTAAAATATACCTTGTCAATAATCCCCCTTAAAATATTCCCTCTTGCTTCAAGCATACGCACCCATTGTTCTTGCCACCCCACCCCTTTTTTAAAAATTTTCAGAACCAGGAATTGAACTCAGGTCCTTGTGCTTGCCAGGGAAGTGCTTATTCCACTGAGCCATCTCCCTGGTCCTTTTTTTTTTCCTTTTGTCTATTTTTTTTTTTAATATTTATTTATTTATGTATTTGTTTATTTATTTTGCAGAACCGGGGATTGAACTCAGGTCATTGCACTTGCCAGGCAATCCTTTTGTCTTTTTGAGGCAGGGTTTCACTATGCGGTTTAGGCTGGCCTTGAACTCAGTTCATAGCCCAGGCTGGCTTCAACTCTCAGCCTCAACGTACTATTTTAATAGGGATTGGTAGTAGGGCCAGTGAAATACATCAGTGGACTAAGACTAAGCACCTGCTTAGGCAAGTGCAGGGAATGGGGTTCCATCCCCAGGCTGTGCCGGCCCTGCACTGCACCCCCCCCCCCTTTCCACTCGTGCACTGAGCCAGCCACCACCGAGTCCAGACATGGTTATGCATGCCTATAATCTCAGCGCTGGGGAGACTGAAAACAGGAAGATTACCACATGTCCAGGCTGGCCTTGAGATCACTTTGTTTGTTTGATTTTTTTTGCTTTTTTTTTTTTTTTTTTCCGGAACTGGGGATTGAACTCAGGCCCTTGTGCACACCTGGGAAGCACTTATTCCACTGAGCCATCTCCCCGGCCCCTTACCACATGTCCAAAGCTGCGTAGTAAGACCCTGTACCAACTACATTAAAATAAATAAATAAGGACTAGTCATTACTGAAGTAAAATTTTTTAAGTTAAACTTTCATCATATCTTTTGATCATATTGTGTGTAACAGGGAGTCTTCTTGTATATCATTTAGAAAGAAAGTCGTAAATTTTTTAAAAAGTCATTCTTTTTCAAAAATAAGGGGACTGCGCCAGGTATGGTAGTGCATGCCTGTGATCCCAGCCCTTGGGAGGCTGAAGGAGGATCACTGTGAGTTCCAGGCCAGCTTGAACTGCTGAAACTGTTTCAAAAGAAGTAAAGGGAAGGATGAAAGACCACCCAAAGCTTGGCATCATTGACCCATATGCCACAATGGATTGGAAACTTAGAAATATTGATAAACATAAAGTGTAACGGAAGGTCAACTTAAATTTAACAAAACACAACAGTAAACTTCATTCAACCAATTTTTTTCTAAGATAATCTATGCTTTGGTTTAACTATAATGACCCTGCCTGTTTCCAGTGTCTACATACTTTTCTGTTCTCCTCACAAAGAAGGAGGTTTCTGTTTTCTCTGCTCCCTACCAACACCTACTTCTTCCTGGTCTTTGTTTTGGTTTTTGTTGTGGTTTTGAAGTGCTGTCTCAGTATGGTTTTGATTTGCATTTAAATAGAATTTATTTTGCAATGCTATAAAAGGGTTTAGTTTCTGTTTTAGGACAGAGTATGGAGTGGTTTTTACTAATAGAATTAAATATTGGAAGTTTAAGAAAATTGTTTGAAATGAGGTTTGGCTTGGCTTGGCGTTGCTGGAGATTGAACCCAAGGCCTCATGCCTGTGGACAAGTACTCCTATCACTGAGCTGCATGTGTCCCGGCCCAAACTGGAATTAGGATTTTAGTTCTGTTTGTTTTGCTTTATTTTGGCTTTAGTGATATAGTGTACCTTAAGACCTTGGCTGTGCAAGGAGCAGTGTCTTGAATGAAGATTTGGATGTAGTTTCCAACTTGTGTTAGCAAGAAAAGCACAGTCCCTATCTTCCCAGGGGCCTAGGATGCCAAAGCCACAAGACACGGTCACTTGTTATGTCATTCGGTGCTGCCTAACACTGGCAAAGAGTGGCTGGCAGCAACACCCAGCTTGTTCTTTCCAGACTCTGAACATTAGTCAGAAGGCAAGATTTCTGGGGGTGAGTCAGCAGGATCCCTCCTTATCTCTTCATATCTTATTTCTCTATACCAGTCTTTGTTCGTTCATTTGGTAAACATTACCTGTCAATCTCCTGAAGACTAATGGAGAAGGAAAATACGAAGTTCCTGCTGTTGCCAAGGGCTCTTGGCAATAAGTCATGGTACCTGGAAATGTAGCTGTGTTTAATGCACACACACTACTGGATTTAAGATTTTTGTTTTATATTAATATTATATATTACATATAATACAAACATGTAACGAAAGTTATCATCTTAGCCACTTTTTAAAAATGGTCTTTTATTTTTGGTTTTAGATCAGGTGACTTCTTTCTGAGAGTGAGTTGGTTGAGCTGAGCAGATGCTGAGTTTTTGAGATTAAAAGGCCAAAGAAAGCAGAAATGATACAACAGAAAGCAGATTAGTCACTGCAAAGCTACATTTTTCGTAGGATTAGAATGGAGACAGAACAATAGGAAAATAGCTAATTAGTTAACATCGGGGTATGCAAGTTAATCTGTCCAGGGGAATTTCACTATTATTCCAGATGAAACTGGTCTTGCTTAACTATTTTATTTATTTATTTTAGAAAGCCAGTTTTTTATTTTTTTTAAAGCTGACATGTTTCTAGCAGGTGCCAATAGTTACCTGCCACACTCATACCAGGTTATCTGTGTTTACGTAACCATTTTTTTTTAAATTTTTGTTTATTTATTTATTTATTTATTTATTTATTTTGTGTGTGTGTGGCCAGCTCAGCCCACCAGGGGG